TTGATGATGCGAAGGCAGCCGTAGTGCGCCAGAACACTCACCACACATCAGCTATCAATGGGGAGAAGAGCAGAGTAATGAAGCCAATTCATAGATGGGGATTATTACCATGATTGGTAAGGGCCAATGGGAAATTTGGCCAGGATGTCAGGGTTACACCCTTACTCTTTTCGGGAAACGCCCTGGGATTTTTAATGACCACAGAGAGTCAGGACCTCGGTTTTACATCTCATCCGAAGGATGGCCCCTGTTTACAGTATAGTGTCCCCTATACTGGGGCATTAGGACCCACATGGACTGCTGGCCCCCCTAACAACTCTTCCAGCAGCAGCCTTAGTTTTTCCCAGGAGGTCTCCCATCCAGGTACTGACCAGGATCACACCTACTTAGCTTCAGTGGGTTGCTAGTTGTGAGTTGCAGAGTGATATGGCTCCTAGATAATGTATACAGTATGGATGATTTTAAGGTATGTTTGCTCAGTTTCTTGAGACTGCAGCTTACAAAAGTCCTTCCATGTATTCCTTGCTAAGTAGCGACCCCAGAATTATGGCCTTGTCTCTGGTGTTGCTGAATCCCTTCTCTTGAATCCCCAGGCCTACTTTGTTCATGGCTGAATGGTTTTATGGCTGTGTCTGTGCAACTCTTATCTCTCCTGGAGAGAGTGGTTCACAGTCCTCGTAGCCCTGGTGGAGCCACAACGAATAGCAAATCCCCCATTATTCACAGATGCAGGCATGAGGACTTATTTGTTAGCAAGAACTGAGTTAAAACATCAAATAATATGGCTTACAGTAACTGTAAATACCAAGCCAATGTTTAGTGTCAATAGTGTTATTGATGAATGCTGAAGCTAAAATACCACCCTGACCTCCATCTACTGAGTAATCTGCTCAAATCCTTCACATTTTTTTTCAAACCCTATCCTACAGTACTGTACTATATGTGCATTGCACTAGTCCCATTTGTCACATGCTTTTCCATATTTTACCTCTCCTGTCTTTATACCTCATGCTGAAAGAACATCCAGCTACAACTGATTTTGGTTTGGTCCCAATTTCTTCACTATCCTACAGTCAAAATGGAGTTTATGAAGACACTTTGACCCACAGTAGTGTCCACACTACTGTACATTCACACTACTTTCACACTTTTGTTGCTTAAAGTTCCTTGAATTTATATGGCTTGAAAACACACATTAAGTTCAAATAGACACATTAATCTTTTTTGTGACTAATAACTTATGTAAATGGGAACCAAACAAAGTTCAAGAGTTATTCCCTGAATATCTAATATACTGAGTTTGGGTTCATTGCACATTTTATGATGCACCAAGGTCTCCTCAGCACCCTGTCCCCCTGGGCTGTCTTTTGAAGGCTCTTTAAAGTGAAATTATTCCACTTCTTTGTCACAGGAACCTCAGAAACATGCATGCCATGAGTATGAAATTTGACGTAAACATCTTTTAAAAAGCCCTACAGCTCTTCAATCAAAAAATGCAAAAAAATTCAAAGAGCTATTGTGCTTGTTTTTTTTTTCCCTGTGGTTCTTCAGCCTACTGAATGTAATGCTGAAATCATTATTTTGAGAACTGTGCTTGGCTATTGAAAAGGTATCAATGAACCAGAGATATGTGATACTGTATGTGAAAAGAAAGAGCACAGAAAATTGATGGCATCTTGGAAGTGTGAAAATTCTGACATTTGAAGTTTAAAAAAAATTATGATAAGGCTCCACAGAAATATTTGTCAATTGCAAACTCACTATGATACATCAAACAAATTTTACTAAAATATATGTTCTGTGCACTCATATTTATACACAGTATTTAAATGGTTGGATTTTAGGACTGAAATACAACCACTTGAGAATATTTACTGTATGTTTTTAAGTACACTAATATAGTGTTAATGTCACCTGATAAATGGGTGTTTAATCATGACTACTGTATTTTACACCTGTGTTTATTGCTATGGCAAGACCAACTAGACAGTGAGTGTGAGGGTTATGGGATGGTGATTGATTGAGTGCCATGTGACTGCACTCACATTCCAGCTAGGCTATATCTATATTATAAGCACTGACCCTGCCACGGTTGCTTATCAAAAATGAATATGCATTTTGTATTTTAATTTAAGTTTCATTAAATTGTTATTTAGCAGTGACAACCTTCTCATTACCATATTCCTAATTGGTATTTTCACCCCTGCAGTGGAATACGTGTCTCTTTTGCAAACAGAAATGTTTAGATGGTTGTGCTAGCAAACAGAGATAAAAAACTCTCAAAAGGAAGACATTTTGTATTCTTCCCCTTTGATATTAAGAGATTAAAGGGATATTGACAATCTTTGTGAAAGAAAACCACACACAAGAAATACTTAGGCGTCATTTACTACAGAGTCTTAAACATAGATGTACAATGCGTATTAAAACATCCCATTCTACGCATCTTGAAACTTAAAGTAAGGTAATATTCACTTTGATAAATATCGCTTACTACTACGATCTGTGTTATGGAAATCATTAGCATAGTAACATACATTTTATCTTAAGGTGCAAGTCAAAAATCAGTACTGCTCTTATGATAAAGCATGACGCATCTCTTGAAGATAAGGCTCAAGATAAGCAATAGTGAAGTACAAAGTGACCACTTAAAAGGAAAGACCAGAGGTTGAAGTAGTGTTGGAGAGACAGCATTGTGAAGGAGTCATTTTCTGGAGAATTAAAAACATTGTAAAAGAAGTTTCATGAACAACATATACAGTATATTAAATGATTTCAGGTTCATGCACAATCCTGAAAATTATTGTGCTATGATATATACAGTATCAGTCAAACAATGTGTACTATATATTAAACAAAGGCTCATACAGTTGTTGCTGCAAAAATGTATCTTGAAGGTCAGCAAAAATATGGTGCCTGTTTCAAAGTACTCTGAAATATCTGAATCTGTTTAGTCTTTGCAGGCTAAAACAGGGAGATAAGCCTGAAAATAAAAGATTCAGAGCCAGTACTATATTTGCTCAATCTGTATCTAGGGAGAATTTCTTTCTCTGACTAAATCTATGTAAAGTTTGCCTTTCCCTGAAATTTCTGGGTATCACTGTGCTTTGGGCTCTGAACCTTTCTTCTTTGTTAACCTTTCTTTTTCCTCTCTCCTTGGATAATGGTACCTTTTTTCTGTAAGCAAGAAGTACATTCATGATCAGAAAAAACCCTAGGGCTTTAATAGAAGGGTCTCATCTCATAATACAGTACCTACTTTCCAGCTAAATAGCACACAATTTAAGGTTTATGGTTAGTATGGTTTAATGAATACTAAGTGCATCTCATTGCTCTCATTAGTGCTGTTTTCCCACATCATTTGAAAACATTAGCATGTGTATGGAAAATTCAGGAATTGCTAATAAACTCATTGTCTTATTTTTAGGAGGGTGTGTTAATGAGAATCATGCATCTTATCATGGTTGATGGAACTGGTGCTCAGCAGAGCATATCTTGTGCATGGATACAAAAGTCATACAGAGCAGTATCTTTATTGAATGAGGTCCTTATACATTCATAATAGTAATGATGCCTGATTATGGGAGACTAAATTGGGAAGAAGCCTATTTCTTAAGGATAATATATCCTCATACCCATAAGAGCCCATATGAGAAAACTATACCTGAAAGCTTCTTCCACCAATAATTCCACGTCTTATTTGTTCATATAATCTCTGTATTGAAAAAAGCACCTTAATGCATTCTATAAGAAGGATAAAAAACCAGATAATTTATGAGAGTTACGAATTTTTAATTACAAGGAACAGACTTACTGATATTTCCACTTTAAGAGTGAATATGTGATACCATGGTGATAACATGATTATTTACAGTAGTTTGCTCTGTATATTTTTCTTTTTCTCTGTGTCAGGCATTGTTTTGCTCTTTTGCCCTGTCCCCTTAAGAACAGAGTTTATCAGAATTTGAAACTGAAGATTAATTCTTAAAAGAAAGAAAAAGAATGCACACCTCAAATATACTGAGATGCTTTTTATTTGATTTTTTTATGATTTGATGTGTGTTAATCAAACAATTCCTAATTACATCTACAGTAAATCCAGATTAATCTATTTATTCCACCTTTACTTCTTTTTAAGAAAAAAGGGGTTCCTCTCATGTGGAATACCAGAAATTGAGGAATATTTATCTACAGTATATTAGATCTTTGTTTAGCCAAAGGTGTATGTTCCAAAGAAGGCTAGTCTATATTGATGAGTGATGATGAATTATTTTGGTTTAGAGAACATGTGCCTACAGTAGTTGATTTTGCTGCTGAAGATAGAGATCGATGCTAGTGTAAGAGATCATTCCATTGGCAGTCCAATACACTAACATCTTAATTGTTATTGTAAAATGTATCATTATTTTTTCAGCCTTATGTTTTATCTACAGTAATTTAAATATATGTGTTTAGAATGATTTTAGAAAAGCCAAAATGCCTAAAAGGGTTAATCCCAAAACAGTTTTCACATGAAAACAAGATTTGCATAAAATAGTAATGTAGGCTGAAGTAAAACGTGGTTTTGTAAATTTATACACTGTAAATTTAAATAACTGTCATTTTGGGAACATTTAATTTGATATGAAGCACACAAGCCAACATGCTTTTGAAGAAGATGAGACTGATGATTGTACATTCTTTCTTCTTTCATAGTCTATCTAATTGAGAAACTCAGAAATAGTTTTAAATGTACAGTATATGCTTTTTATATATGCTTTGTAAATAAAAATGGCTTTTAAAAAAGAATGTTTGGAGGACAGTGTACATATTTTTCTACTTTCAGTTTAATTTTCTTCTTTATTTTCAAAATTAGGTACTGAAGCTCTTATTATTCCTGAAGATCTTATTATTAAATGACTGTAGCTTCTTTTTGCTGGGAAAATGTTGTTAGACAATGTAAGACTGGACATTTTAGTGTCCACATACCACACATTAAAAAATAAAAACAACAATTACCATCATATTTTGAGTATTTATTAAACATTGATAAAAATTTGAACATTACTTTTTTAATCTAATGCAAAGAGTCTAAAGGGGCATTCTGTAACAAAACCAAACAATTACATAATGTGTATGATCCTCATCCTCAAACTGATAATATATGACATTACTCTTTCTGGAGTTACGGAAATTGCTTTCATTGCATCAGTTTCAAAGGGCTACCATACCCTTTGTAGCATGAACATTGACAGATCAGAAATATTAGAGTAATCAAGAATGGTGAAGGCTAACTAGCTATTACCTTGAAAAATAGCTACTGTCAAATGTACCATATTTCCGCCAGTCATGAGCAGGAAACAAAGAGATTGGCTGGCACAAAAATACTGCACAAATTCTGATCTGATATGATTATTTTTTGTGCTTCAAGAATTCAGTTGCTTTTTTAAAAAAAGGTATTCTTTTTTCTTTTCAACAAGGATTTATGAAGACTAGATATAAGTGGATATACACTGACGTTTTTAAAGACCACCTATTTATTCTGGAATCATATGCAGTATTAACAAAATATAAGTGGGGTTGATGAGTGGAGTGTGGCACTCATCTCACATTTTACAGGAATGAAACACAGTTAACTGTATGACTAAGATAAGCAATATTGGACTTTGGAATTAAAGACCAGTCCTGGTTCAGAATGTACTGTATATGAGTACAGATGTACAGTGGGTTTTAGACTTTCAAAAGTAGAAGTGATAGGAGTTTCAGAAGGATCTGTCTTGGTGCTCAATGTCTAATAAGCCATATTGTGACCATATTGTACACATGCGTGCAATCCTCTGTCATTCCTGGTTGGTCCTATATCTTTCTCAGGACTTTATTGTACACACGTTGCACATGAAATGTGTAAGTGCAAAGGGCAGAACCATGAACTATCTGCCCTAGTTAATTTACTGCTACTTGATATGATTCCAGAATAAACGTGTTGTTCCAATCCAAATGACTAATGCCTAGTCTTTGTACTGTATATCTCTACATTATAATGCAAGAAACTGTCCTTATTATATACATTTATTGGACATAAGAATGAGGCATCCCCTAACCCTGTTGCATATGCAGTTTATTATGTGGATTAAAATCAAAGTAGAAAAACATGAATTTAAGTATAGTACTATAGATATAAGAAAGTGGAAAAATATTTAAGGTTTCGTGAAAGTTAATGTTTGTAGAAGTTTCCTTGTCCTGCAAAATGTTAAAACATGTTTTAGAACATTTAAAAAATGATTACATTAAAATATTCTAAGTTTATAACCTGAAGGTCACATACTGTATATGGGGGATCCCTCAAACCTTTGGCCAAGGCTATATGTATGTAATATTTTTAGTTTTTATTGCCATGTATCTGAATAAATGTGCAATTGACATTCAATACATTATCCCAATCAACCCATGAGCAACATTAACCTCTCTATTTAAATATACCTTATTGAAAGGACTACTAATTTGGCTAGTAAATACATAGCAAAACAATGTATAAAAGCTAAGTAAGATACATTATATCTAATAGAATTCAGCTTTATACAGTATATTATTTAAGTACAATGATAAAAAAAAAACAGAAAAAGTGGTTTGAAGCTGTTCTTGCATAGCACAAAGCAGACTACATTATATGTAACTTATGCAGCTAATGTGCAAAATGCAATAGGTTGATACAAACAATCTTTTTTATTATATATATATATATTTTACGCATGATAATAAATGTCCATACAATAGGTTAGAATTTAAATATCTATACATTTATATTTATACATAATATTTCAAGGGTCTACATCCCTAGAGCAGCTTTATATGGACTCTGTTACTGTTGACTTGCATAAAACAGCTGAAAAAAAACAAGTACAATCCCACTCTGGGACATCTTGACACCCCCAGGGCATCCTTTCATTTACAGCTGGTTACAGGGGTCTTGGTAATGTTACTCACATACTGTAGATCTACTGATTCTTCACTTGGAAAACAACCAGTTTCAAGACACAGAATTTCACACTGACCCCTTCTCAACTTAGATCTAAGTTTCAAATCTTTCATAACCGAGGAGGGAAATCAAACACTATCTTTATACTTTCTTTAATGTCAGAATCCTTGGTTTTCCTCAATTCTACATGTTAAGCGATGTATTAATCAATTATTCTCTGAGGTCAACATAAAGCTACCATGGAAAATACCCCAGTTTATTTTTTTAAAATTCCTTATCAGCAAAAAGCCCTTGTTATATATTGCTACATCAACTTAATTTGAAAAGGAAATGTAATAACCTACTTCACTGAAACCCCCAAAACTTTTGTTAGAGCAAAATTTTTTCCGACTGCTGTCAGTGTTTGGTTTCTGTTGGTGCTTTTTAAAAAAACGGTTCAGATATCATGCTACATAAAGAGAGAATACAATACTGTCTACAGTATGCAGCACTCACCTACTGGTTAGATTTTTTTGTTTTTCATTGCCAACTAGAAATAGTTGCTGTCCTAAAATCTGTCTTTGTCTTACAAGGGCATCTCAAAGTGAAGGCAGTGTAGCTGGTATTTACTGGATGCTATCTGGTAGGTTAGCAGAGGAAAGGAAGAATTAAAAGGCTTTAAAGTAAACTAGATGGAAGTCTCATGATAAAGGGAAACATCTTTCTTAGTTCAACCATGGAAACTGACAAGGCACAGCTCTTCAGTGACCATTCTCTTTGCATTAAGCCCTATGCAATACACACAACTAGCAGCAGTAAATTTGAAAAATATGTGAGTGACTTTTAGGTTTTTGGATTTATATGCATGTGTCTAGCACACAGAAACCAGAAACCAATATAAAGAATAATAGTGATTTAATTCTAAATATAAAATGCATTCCGACATTAAATAGTACATTTACATTCTTACCCACCACTGCTCCATTCTCAAAATATATTTTGTGTGCAAACATACACACAACATATATACATATACATATACATATACATATACATATACATATACATATATATGCTTCTATCATCATTGGTAATATTATAAATCAGCATTTAAAGGAACACTAACTTGGTTGAAAAACAGTCACTTGAAAGTGAACCAATAAATACCCTCTCTTTACAAATTATGTATTACTTTCAATGTCATATTTCATACATAGAGCTTCAAAAGACATCTTAAAACTCCTTTGTTCTCATATTAAGAATATTTATACTTCATAGGTACATTTCGCAAAGCTTAAACTTGATATTAACATCTGTAACACTGTGATAGTATTTACAATAAAATAAAATGGATATTATGCTTAATGTATTATATAATAAAGGGATTTAAAAAAAACAATTTATGCAAATAAGATGTATCCACTGAGACATGTATTTATTGCTATTGCTGAAACCCTACCTTTTGTTAACAAAATAAATACAAAACATTTCTACAAGACATGGAAGAGTATCTGACTTAATTTTTAAGGAAACATTTTGGGATATAAATCAAATAAACTAAGCCATTTTGTCAGATGTAGACAGTTCCTTAAATATTCTGTTCATGCTAATGTAACGGTTGTGCATTTTCTAGGAAATGTAATCAAAATGTAATGGTCTAATGTAAATAAAAACAAAGAAAACAAAAAAGGAAAAACAAAACTAAAATGAGAGATCCTTAACTTTTGTTAGGCTATGTGCATTTGTAGAATAGCATTCTCTCGCATATATATTATTGTAGCATAATTTTAGAATAGTACACATCCCCTCTAACACTTCCCATTCAACTCTAACCACATTGCAAAGATCCTTGGGTTTGATTCCTCCTTTTGTACATTTTGAAGGTAATATCTTTTTTTTTAATGACACAGAAGCAATGCAGTAACTGGGAACTAGACCCCTTGGACACCTGTTCTGAAAATAAACATTCGAAAAAAGCTTTTTAGTGAGGTTGAAATAACCCTTTGATTTGTGGCTCTCTATTTAAGTAGGTTGCCCAGTAAACTAAATTAAAGGTTCCAAAAAGTAGAGGGAAAGCTATTCTGGACATCCTGTCAATTTTGCTCACACTGTTAAAGGTTTTCTTAGCTTCTGGAGGTTTGGGTTTTGGGTCTTCTTTAGCTTCAGTGGGAGGGGCAGCACTTTTGGCAATGGTAGCCAAGCCTGGATCCCTGGCAATGTTTGGGGCATAGTTTGTTGCTGTTGCAGTGTAGGTGTTGTTTTTCTTGATGAGGGATTCTTTCTTCTTCTTTTGCTGAAATAAATAACAGTGTTGCGATGAGAGGGAACCAAAGGCAACAGTGAGCATTGTTCGGAAGGTACCATTTTTGGCGGACATTAGATATGTTGTTTCCGTTTTATAAACAAACCAAGCCAACTGAAAAAAAAAAACTATAGTAAAACTTTCCAGCCTCAATGTTGCCATAAATCCATAAAGTTCACATCACCAGATTTTTCAGACTTGACATTTTTCCAAAAACTGAAAATAAAAATTTTGTTTTAAGATGTTGGTTGCATGACGGAAAGCAAAACCTCATGGCTGGCCCCACTGGGGTAACAAACATATTGGCCAGAAAATCTGCAAGATAACTCACTCCCCACTTCTGTAAACACAATAGTTTTTTTTTCTGTAAGCACCCTTATGCATGCAACAATGATAGAATAATGATAGAAAATGATATCATGTCTATAATGAACATATGACCCTGGTGTCATTACATTTAATATGATGATGAAGAGAGAAGACAGGTAGAAAGCTTAACCACTGATAATGATTATAATGAAAAATGTAAAATGTGATGAAGTATAAAATAGTACATTAGCCAGTACATAATATTTAATGTCAAGATTACTTTATATATATGTGTTTATTTTAATGTATGTTGTGGTGCTGCCTTTGGATTTATATTAACACTGTAATAAGTCAAGCATGCCTTTAATAATGTAGGATCAGTAATTCTCACTCCAGAGTTTTGGCAAAGTATTCTACATTAACTGCTCAAATATATCTGTTGCTGTAACTTAAATGCACATGAAACATCTGAGGAACAGGATCCCATATGTTTTCTTGCCATGGTGGGTAAATCTCATTAATGCTAAGATAGATGAATGACTCTAAGCAATGTTTGCACAACCCATTTTAAATATTCACAAATATGGTGTTATTTCTGTATCTGGACTGCCATGAACAGAGAAAAAAAAGGAAGCGTGTCATCAGGGCAGATAAAGTGATACATATTATTAACATAATGCCGTATATAATAAAAAGCATACAAGCTTGACTCGTAACTGTCGGAGTAGGTAAATATGACATGAAATGCATTTGAGTTCAGTGACATGGGGTAATGTGAAAAAAGCAGAGCAGCGAAGAAACTAACAAGGAAAATAATATCGGAAGACAAAGGGAACCTATTTTTCTTCATGTTGTTTGTGTACAAAATTTCAAATAAAAACTACAGATATTCATTTATTCATGTGGCACAAATACCACAGCGGCAAAAATTCTGACATTACTGTAATTTAAAAGAAAATGGCTGAACCCCCTTGTTTTTACCTACTACTGAGCACATTAAGACTTTATACTTGTCTAAGAGTGCAGTAACAGTAGCTGCCACAACAAATGATAACCAATTAGCAATACAATGAACCTCAAGTAACCTGGCTGGCACAGTTTGCTTTTAGACCATTTTCCATTTAATGATGCTTCGTGTTTTGTTTTTTGGAAAAATACCATTTTACAATACATTATATAGTGTTTTTATACAAAAAAATAACAGTCTAATATGAATATGTCCACTAAGAGAAGAAAAGACAGAATACCTTCTCAGGCACAACACTTTTGCCATCCCAGGCGTAGCTCCTCTTTGTGAAATAATTCACTGTGGCGAACTCAATGAGGGCTGAGAAGACAAATGCGTAGCAAACTGCGATAAACCAGTCCATGGCTGTTGCATATGCCACCTTTGGAAGAGAATTCCTGGCACTAATACTCAGGGTTGTCATGGTCAGTACGGTTGTTACACCTACAGAAAACAAAAACCATGAAAAATACTTAGTGGAAGACCTACTGTAAATGTACAAACACCAGATAGCCTATTCAAGAGTTTTTATCTTTTTACATTATGTAAAATGTTATATATATTTTTTTAAGATGGGGTTATGTAACATATTGTAATCTAACAAAGTGAAGCCATTTGTCGAGAACAAACTCTTCCCAAATGTGGACAGAACAAACGCCCAGACGTTTTCTATGTTCCCTCCTACATACTGTATTAAAACCGTGTATTCAAGATACAGCATCTGCATGCTTGTAGATGAACAATTTATTTGAAGTCTATTGAAAAAAAATGTCAGTGGAGTTTAAGAAAATATTGTCTGTTTCTTCACATTATTTGCAATTCAAGTAAGGACGTGAAAGCTCTGCTTTCTCATTTTCAGAAATTAGCATAATAGTTTTAAACCAAAATGTTGATTATGACTTGTAATATCAGCAAACTTAGAAATTGCAACCAAAGCATTTGATCATGGAGAAAAATGCTTACATGGATAAAGCATACTATTATCATTGAATATTAAGGATATATTATCATTTTAGCTACTTAAGCTACAGTTATCACTGTACTGTAGCTTCTTAAGCTTTACATCTTTCTTAATTAGCTCGCCAACATTCTGAATGAATCCATGAATGACCACCTTCTCCATTTCACATACATTGTTTTTGTCCCACTTTATCGTAATACAGTTTTTGCCGTTACGATATATCAAAATCTTTTGCTTGCTCAACTGGCGTTTCCCAGTCAGATGTTGAGCTTTAAAAAGGCTACTGAGCAAGGGCACTGTCAGTCTCGAGAAACTCTGGATTGTAAAGGGAAAAATGAGACAAAAAGAAAAGAAAAATAATACCAACAAGAACTCAATCAAACAGCCAAAGGAGCAGGTAAAAGTGTCCCCCTTAGCAGCTTGGCATAGTGGGAAGAAACAAGCAGCCTTGGGCGAAATTAAAACCGGTCAAGGATGAAAAAGCACATGACATGTTTATCAGCATGTCCAGTTCTCCCTGCAGACTGCAGCACAGATGTTCTCACCAGAAAAAGACATTCAGCTCATGCTAATGTTGGAGGAAAGTATCTATAGGGCCATAGGACTCCCAGAGATTATTTTCATTGTGGGGAAGACTGACATAAATTTGTGAAATTCTCATTAAAGCCATTAATAATGTCTCACATTTTCATTAAATAAAGAGGCAAATTCTTTCTGTCACTATTTTTTTACTGCGCTGTTATCTTTAATGCCCTTTGGGGAATAATTATGTTTACAGAATTGGCAAATAAATATGTTTAAGTTATAGATCTAAACCTTTAACACCTGTCTACTGCAGTTTAATCCTGACCCATGTTGTATGAATATCTGAGAATTGTATACAATTTTATCAATAGTATTTGTAATATGTTCATTCTCAATGGGCACAACAAATAACAATAATATGGACAGCTGGGTCACTGAGTTTTTTAAAAGCCCTTAGAATCTCTTTAAAACTGTTTTGTCATTTTCATCAAGCTAAAACAAATAATGAATTATTTCCTGTAAAAAGCTTCAGGTAAGTCCTGGAGTTATATACAAGACTACAAGACTACAAGACTACTACAAGACTACAAGACAGTGAAGCTGACTTACAGTATATTTAGTTCAGACAGCACCAAGAGCCATCCAATCTGGAATTCTGTATCTGCAGTTTAATCCAAAATCTGCAGGAATCCTGAAGCACTGGGGCACACTTGGCAGAGCACTGCTACAGATATTAGTCACAGGTATCACGATTAGTTAGCTTATGTCTCTGAGCTTTCTAACACCTGCAACTTCCCAGGCTCCAGTCAGTGTGGAATTTGATGTGAGTGTGAAGCTTGCAGAGTGTCAAACAATGAATGGATGTAAATCAGGGGTGTCCAATCCTGGTTCTGGAGGGCCAGTGTTCCAACTCTGCTCTTAATGAGATAAAGTAGTTTGTTGCAGGCTTACTTGAACCAGTTTAGCAGCCTCTCCCAGTCTTGAAGCACTTAAGGATTGGACACCCTGTTCTAAATAGTGGGCAGCTAAGACGTACACGTGTCCCCAACTTCATTCACTCTATGCACAGAGCTCTACTTTCACTGTTCAACGTCCTTGAGCAAAGCTGAAGTTGAAGACACAAACCTATCAAAGGAATCTATACCCCTAATCTATACCATAGGTATATCATATTTCAGAACATCATACTTATTTACTGTACATGTCTGCAGAACATGCATGCTTTGATTACACTTTTATTGATAGGTATCTTTGAAGGACAACAAAAAATATTTTCTCCAACATCAGCTGTTGGAACAGCTTCACAGATAGAACATTGTGTATTTCAGTATTTTCAAGGTGAACCTGTCAGAACCACTCAATCACTGTTTTGATATTTGGGCTTTGTGCTTCAGCTCTCATTCAATGTAGATACTGTATACAAGAATTCAGTCACACCAAAGCAGTTAAAGAGACAATCATCTGTTTTCTTTATGTTCTCTTCATATACTGTATATGCTGCATATAAGTCATTGTGCTTATCTGTTTTTGTGCGACTCTGTTATTTGTGTTAGCTATATTTAAATCATGTCAAACTAGTTATTTAGGTCACTTACTATACAAAATGAATTTGACAAAGCGCAGCAAATTCTGTCCTCATTGCTTTTAACATAGTTGTTATTCCTGTTCTTACTGTACTCACATCTGAATTTTTCATATACTATACATTGGCACATAATAATGTGCTAATAATACAATATGTAGGTTATAAATAGGTTATAAAATGTGCCTAATATGTAGGTTAAGAAGAATGAGTAAATGGAATGCATTGCACAAAACCCTTTTATTGCAGATAGGCTCTGTATTTCACTTGTAGCTCTGTCTTACAATTTCAGATTTTAATATCTTTATAGATACATTACAAAATAAAAAGGAAAATAGCAAAACCTAATATACGCATAACAACGGAAATGCGCATTTCACTTTGATCCATTAGAACTTCAATTGCTTAAAAGATTAAAAAATAGTCTTAATAAAGACTAAAAAAATGAACCAGAAAATTAAATTCTGTCACAACACATTTTTTCCTTTTCAAAAAAGACACTTCTATGAGCTTATAATAAAACTCAAACTTCTCCACCCTATGTTTTCTGCTCTTTCCTTACCTCTACAGTAGTACTTTTCTTTAAAAATTGACAAACTGTACTCTCGACTGAAAACTTAACTTCTTGGAACACTTCCTTTAATCCTCACACTCCTGAGGGTCTCTTTTCCACAATTTACTATGGCCCACAAATCCATCAAATGGAGATTCAACAGGAGACATGCCATGTATAATAAATCAAATAAAAGTTAGGTGAAAAGCTTTGTATTGAACCACGAAACAGGACCCAGAATTCTTTGGCAAAATGTCAAGACCACAAGGTGATAGGTTACGGTGTCTTGCTCATACCAGCATACTGTACATAGTATATACAGTAGTAAGGGCTAAGAGTGAGGTCTCAACAGTTTGCACTGGCAAACACTGAAGTACTATACTGGAAGATAACCCAAAGCTGTCTTTCCTCACCATTCTGGTTTGGACTTCTATTGACAGCAGTTTGTACCCACCAGAAAACATGAATTCCCTACTCACTCATAAAGAGTGACAGCCGTCTCCTCACTAACATTCGTTTACTGTGTAGACAGTGGGAAAAAAAGTTATATATTACATCTTACATTAATTAGATAGAAGATTTACATCAATAAGTGGTATGAATAATGTTTTATGGTTCCCATTTTTCACCTAGAGTACAGTATATAGTATTTCAATTCCTAACTGAAACAAAACTATTACTTTCAGATATTTATGTTAACACTGTACTGCCTACTGTATATTCCTAGAGCAGAACAGCTCTATTAGTCATATGACAATAGACTAATACCACTGACACAAGAGAGTTAACACAACAATTCATATTAAAAATAATTTGAAAAAGTACATTGTGCCACATGTCAAGCATTATAACATGATGAGGTCAATATAGACTAAGCAGAAATGGGAATGAATGTGTAGTAATATCGGTCATATGCAGTAATACCTGTACATCATATAGTGTATAATTACATTTACTTCAGAAATTAGTATTGAAAATAAAGGTTTTAATTTTTTTAATCTTTGTTCAAGGCCCATTGATTAGGAGGCCTCCCTGCAACTCTGCTATTAAGCCCAGTTCTCCACTCCCAGTGTGTTTAGGACCGGTGTCTGTACTTATACAGTACTGTAAACTAATGTAATTAGTGATTCCACATTGCATATAAAATACTAAATATAGTTAACAAAGTACCAGACATAGCTTATTCAAACAATAATAGCCCAATTTTAACCCGATTTGTTTGCATCATAATTCTTCATTCTGTTGAAAAGGGCTCTGCTATCACTTGTCATTTTTCTAATCTTTTCCACCAAAACATTGTCACAGCGGAGTTCATACAGTACATTCATACAGAATAAGCCAAATGGAGTGAAGATGTATAGGTTTCCTTCAATCTCACCTTACAGCAAGATCTTTTCACATACAGTAGTATTGTATATCTTGGAATTTCATTTCCCCTGGTCTTTGAACCCACCAGAACTCACTTGAATAAGGATAAATTCTTCATAGTATTTTAAAACTAAAGTGCTATCCAAAGAGTCAGTGCTCATTTTTACTATGAAAATCAACATTTGTATTTTCAGGATCTGTTAATGTCATCTGCTGATAGTAGTATAATAGTAATTGCTAAAGGGTTGATGGTTAGAAAATGTCACTTTATACAGCTTCCTACACTGAACAAGTTGTTCCACACATCTTGTCTTTTTAATTGAAGACATAAAGTCAGTTTTATTTTGAGAAACAGGATTTTACAAAACATTTAGAACTAATACATTCACTCTAGTGCTCATTTTTACTATTAAAATCAATATTTGTATTTTCAGAGTCTGTGAAATGTCACCTGCTGATAATAGTATAATAGTAATTGCTAAAACGTTGCTAAATTAAAACTGTCACTTTATTCAGCTTCCTATAATGAACAAGTTTACATCCTGTATTTTTATTAAAGACATATCTGTAAGGTCGTTTTTTTGACAACCAGCAATTTACAAAAGTTTCAAAGCCAATACATATCTTCACTCTTTAAACTAACATTTTCTACTTCATGAAAGAATAAAAGGATTCTCAGTAGTTGGGTTAGATCCTAATTAATGCAATAGAGGGACAAATATGGTGTGACTCACCTAGCTGAGAGAATGGAAGCCTAGCTATAAGGAGAAGGCTACAAGGGTGTAGATGGGGATGCAGGGGGATGCGAGTCAGATAAGCAAAGGACAGACCTGGATGAGAGAATAGGATCTAACCTTACTCCCCAACCTGTTATAAACCCCACTTGTAGTATGCTTTCTGACTAAATGTTGACAAAATACATCAATAGTTCAGGTGGGTAGCTGCGTCAGCATGCGTAGGCTGCTGTCGTGTTTTCTTTCTTCTCTTCTCAGCACGAAATAAACCTATGACTTGTTCCTTTAAAATACATTAATGTCCGTCTGTCTACTGTATCTATCTGAAGAATAATATAAATGGATAATGCTTGTATTTAAAAAGGAATTATGGCCCAGACTCATGTGTCTTTTTGCCTTCTATTTAGCTGGCTTTTCTTCTAAGGTGTGGAACTCCATAGTATGATAATGTACTGTTTCAATCTAATCAGATATGGGAGATCATGCTCATCCACTTGGCATTCTGTCCTCTTGGCACTGAAAATCATGTCTCCTGCCTTGTCAGTAATTCTTTGTTGCTTCATCATGCCAAAAGATCTGCAGAGTGTGCTGAATTAAAACGCATAAGCTACCATTTTGCAAGAGCCAGCGTAAATAAAAAAGACAAGACAAAAAGACAGCGTAAATATACAGTATTATCCAGCAGCTGGGTTACAATCTACACAGCTCTCTCTGTCAGATACAGAAACAAATGCATTACACTCACCTCCTTGTCTGATGGAAATGCTAACATGAGAGAAGTAATTTGTTTTTTTTTTTCCTTGGTATTGACTTTAGGGGTTTCAGCCTGTTGCAAAGTCCATTTGCAGGGATACATTTCTGTAAGTAAGCCTAATAGTTCCACCATCTTACACATAAAGACACATAGTCTGAGTTGCTATGGCAACATCTTCACAGCAGTAACTTCATTTCATAGGTACAAAAATAAATGACTTTTCTCTGGAGCTGGGGTATTACTTGGGTGTCATGGCAAAATCCAAAGCAGGTAGAATCAACGTGGGCTGCTTTAAAGCCACCAGCCTTCAAATGATTTAAAATACAGTATGTTGTGTGTTGGAACAGAAACTCCTGCTAAGTTTAAAATTTTACTCTGTCAAATGTGCACTGTATTTAGCACAGGTCACCTATACTACAGTATAAATCATCAATTGAGAAATATACAACTGTAAGTTCTTGATGTTCTTTTGGAAACAAATACAAAAAGATTTATTTTTTAAGAAACAGAATCACTGAAAAGCATGGTGAAAACTAAAAATATTTAAATACTGTAGATTTATGATAAAATATATAGTACCTTTAGTCTTTTCTCAATGTTCCAAAGATATACAGTATATATATGGATAATGTACAGTATGTACAGTATCTTGTGCTAATCTTAATAATGATATTTGACAGAGAGTTCCAATGAGTGGTAAAGAGTAATTACAGACCTTTAATGAACATCACTAATTAGGAAAGTTGAATGTAAAACTCAACTGTATCAGCTCTTTCAGTGAATTTCTCTCCATGCACTGAAAGGTTGATACTGCTGTGTAGATTATGCACATATTTCAATAAAGCTTTTACTTTCATATTTCTGTTTGAACAAATGTATGTCATAAAACTGGACACAACAAAGTCAAACAACATGTAATCAAATGCAGAAAAAAATATATGGTTCAAATGTTTCCTGCACAAGCCCAGTGAGGATACCACACAGTTAAAAGAAATCCTTTGCTTGCGCTGTCAGAAAAGACAAACTTATCCAAAATGTCTTCTCTGACCTGCAGTGGTGCAGATAAAAATTCAGAATCCAAATCTCATTTGTCTAACTTTTGCTCAGTCAATTTTGATTGAGGGGCAGTAGGATTCATTTGCAATCATTTGCATCACCATTCTAAAGTTCACACCATAAGTGTCTGTAAGATTTCTTAAAGAGCTGTTTATAGCGACCTAAAATATTGTCATTTGGTTGATATAAGGTTTGATATTGGACAACCAAAAGGGAGTTTCTTTTTCCATCTCCTAGCTTAAGTTACATCTTCCTCACCATTAACAGAATGGGATGTCTGTCACAAAGACTAACTATAAAACCACATTTTTGTCACAAGATGGTTTATAAGAGGCATCAATGTGACTGAAATTTGGGCATGTTTGGTTGTGAACACCCATCCTGCCTCATGTCCCGAGCACAACTGTACACAATCCAGTGGCAATTCAAGCTACCATGTGCAGTCAAAGATAAAACAGAGCCACAATGCCTGAATAAAGGACTAAGCACAAGAAAAGCCGATCACTGCAGGACACACAATATTAAGCAGATGAAAATATGGACCAGCTCTCTTTAATTCCGAAGTACCAGTAAAAGAAAATTCACCTTAGATAATTCAAGATTTCCAGCTTTCGGTTCATAATGCACAACCTAGGAAACATTATAGCGTCACCAAACAATGTTAAGTCTGATAATGGAAGAGAAGAAAGGAAATGCAGTAGCAGTTTTTCCACAAGATGCACAAAAAATCCTCCTTTTTATCTAACACTAGCTTTAAATACGCTTTTTCTAAACTGATTTTTCAAAATTTTAAGGGTTTGCTTATTGTGAAACCCAAATTGTAAACCATTATTCTTTCATTTGGCACAGTTCACATGTATTAACTGTGGTTTAGCATGTAAAAGAAATGACATTCAAGTTCTTCAAAAAACAGACACTGATTTAAAGAATAAGTCAACAAAGACAAACAACATCAGAATACAGCATGTCTGTTTCCATCTGTTTTACATGGTTTGTGAAAAGGAAGTTTTATGTTTCCTCCTCATATAATTTCAATGTTAACCACATCAATTTACCCTGAAGAATACTTACCAAATACAGTTCTAGCAGGGACTGATTCTCTGTTGAGCCAGAATGACACCTGGGACAGGATCACTGTCATTATACATGGTAAATATGTCTGGATGACAAAGTAACCAATCTTCCTCTTTAAATGAAAATGTGTAGTCATAACAACATACTCTCCTGTAAATAAAAAAGAAACATCTTCTGTGTGGCAGTAGAAAGTACAATATGTAACAGGAAAATTTCCAAACATTTAATTCAGCTTTAGGTAAATCTTAAGTCTTTTCTGCAGTGGCTGCCTGTCAACATTGTTGTCATGACAACTTTCTCTCCTGTTGAACAAAGAGAAAGAAACACTCTTTATCATTCTGAATATCAATTTCTTTTTTAGCTTTTGAAGGAGAATTTTATCACTTATGAAAGCTCTCTAGAGAGTACATCTTTTTTTTAAAGAAATCATTTCTGACCAAGTTTTTTGATTCAAAGACTTGCATTGTCATACAAAACAGAAAAGAAAATGGAAAATTAGATCATAATGACCATGAGAACTGTACTTGCTAAAATGGAAGTTACTAGAGTAATTTAAGTATTGTACAATTCTTCTTCCATTTATTCATCCATTATCAGATAACTATCCACTGCATAGATCCAATGGAGCATATTCTGGAAGTAGAGGCAGGGCAGGCAGAGACAAAGCACAACTACATCCTGGATGAGAGACCAGTCTATTGAAGGGCATACGCACACAAAAACACATGGGGACCATTTAAAAACATAAATTAACCTAGTGGAAGGTGGAAGGAAACCATAGCATTCTGTGAAAATCCATTAAACACAGAAAAAACTCTAAAAACACCCAAAGCATAGCCCAGTCTGGAAATGAACCCAGGTTTTAAAACCTGTGAGGCAGCAACTTTAACTGTCCTGACTTACTGTCTCTATTATTAACTGCAAAGTTCTTGTTTTCCTAACATTACTGACATTTCCAGCATACCCACAAGGGTGTAATCAATAATCATGTTAAAATAGTGAGTTTGTGTTTTAATACGTAAGTCAATTTTTTGGAAAACACACTTGAGTGAAAATGACATTGAATCATGACAACAAAGTTGCATCTTTGTTTCTTTGACATTTCATTAAAAATAATATAAAAGGAGATATTATATTATGTGTTATGAAAACGATTAATGGACATTACTTAACACACTTATTGTAACAGTCAACTGTTAACTGCCAGATTATATCTGCTGTTACTTTGTGCTTTCAGCAAACATATTTCAGCAAAAACCCATAGAGAGTTCTGAATTTATTTAAGATGAGACCTCTTCAAGCACAGACTACAATCTAAAGTACAGCAGGAATTATCTTTCCCCTAGTGTAGCTCAGTAAAAATAAACTTGAATTTGTGACCTTTTAAACCTTTCTTTCGATGTACCTTAAAATTTTAAGAATTGACTATTTCCAAAAAACTATTAATAAATACCTGTGCTGGACTGAACAATACCTGAGTCAACTGTTTGACCCAGTAAGTCATATTGGTTGAGTCTTGAGCCATCTTCTGCCACGACTACAGACTTCGCTGCACCTCGTGTCCACACATATACCACCTCTGCTCGAGTGTAGGCGTCTGTTTAAAAATCAGGGAAACAGGATTTTGAAAATACACTTATACTGTATATCTGCACCACTTTTGCTTGTCTGTCATCATTCAGGACACATTAGGTCCCTCCTACAGTATATATAGTGTATATAACTCACAGACCTCCTTTTTTATTAATGGTGATGTTTTGAAGTTTAAATGAGTTAGAAAATATAAACTACAATTTACTCAAAAATTTACATTTTGAACAATTTCAGAAATGTATAAAAGGTCTTATGCAGAGGACAGCAACCACAAGTGCACATAAGGTGCTTTTGAAATATGATTTCATATTTGTTAGAGTGGTCCGGCCTTTGTTAGAGAGTCTCATCTGCACTCCCTTCAGTTCTCTGGCACAGTTGTACTATCATTGATAAAAACAGTCTCCAGTTCCTTCTGAGGATTTACTTTCACCAGAACCTAACACACTGCGACATTACTTTGTGCTGCAGAGGATTAACACGCCTAGAATCAGTGAAGTTTAATGTAGGATAAGTTTTTAGCTTGTATTTTATTTAAGAGTACAGCTCATGAAATTGAAATGATATATTATCCGAGATAAACTTACAACTGCCAAACTTCAAAGGACAAGCATGAGCATCCATTGGGAAGTCCTCTAAATGCATTGGGCACTCTGCCCTTACAGTTAGCCTGGGAGCAAAATAAAAGAGAGAGGGGGAGAGAAGATAATGTTTATATGCCTCTTAGAACCCTTTGTTACCTTTCATTTAAGCTGCACTATTCAGAGACACAACAACTGTAACACGGAACCACTGTTAGCATGACAGTTAGACTGTTAGCATGACATGTAACTTCTCCAGCTTTAAGTCAATAGGATGAAGAATGTAATATCAATATATCTTTTATACTGTCCACTCGGTTTATATTTAAGATTCATTTGACATAAATATGTACTCACACTGATATTTAATCTTCTCATAAACATGTTAAAAGATGCATTATGGAGGCCTACTGTGACCTACACATTAGCACTCTCTTTCAAGGTAGCAAAAGCTGATGTTCCCAGTTGTAATTCATGAGGGCCCTAGCCAAATAATGTCTGACATTCCAATTCAATGACAATGGAATCACTTTTATCGTTAAGTTTCTCTTGCACATATTTACTGTATGCATTTTTAAACATGCGCTTTCCTAAATTAGTCACATTAAATTTTAGTACATTTTATTTACAAAAAATATTGTAAATTGTAGAGAATACTTTAAATATGGGATGGGTTAATCATAGCTGATTTTAATTATATTTTTTCAGGACTATTCAGACCTAGATTTAGATAAACTCACTAATCGCACAGTTACACATGTCACTTGATGTACATTCACTCAACAGAAAGCTGCCATCAAGAATTGGTTATGAAATATGAAGCTTTTAAGAAGGATAATCTGATAAAGATTTCTGTATCTTTAAAAACGGACACAGATACCATATACAGTATACTGTAGAACTGCATGCATCTCCTATATTTTTAGTATGGAAATATTTTATCTTACCTCATAGTATATAGAAGTGTACCATCTTCTTTAATGCGTAGTAGTTTATTTGGCATCGTCATGTTGTGTGCCACTGATTTCTTCCCATTGTGGAAGAATGTGTCTGGTGTCCAGATTTTGCTTGCCATCAGATTATTTAGACGGAGGACTGTCATAGGACCCTTGAACTTTAATCGCTCATCCTTCCAGCTTTGTCGAAAAAATACATCAATTGTGTATTCCTGAAAAATTAAAGACATAGAAAACCCTCAAAATTTTACTTGAGAAATCTTTATCACAACACATAACACATAACATTTGAGTCACAGTATTGAGGTGTAAGATTCATCTGTTAATTTATGCAACACTGAGTCAAACCATCTGCCCATGTCCGTGACATCTGTCTCTGTGCACTTAAACCAGGCAAACTGTTACACATACAGTATACAGTACGTATATAATCCTGAAACACTACCTGAAGCTTCTACATACAATTCTGCTACACATCTTGTATTCTGTATAAATCAGCTTGCTTAACCATCTGTTTTGTATCTTTATGCTTGTGCTGTGTCTCATGCCATCCAAATCTGTCCCTTCAACTACACACACATTTCCTGACATTTTTGCGAAAGAGTCCCATCATTGTAACCGTTAAACTATTTTAATGTGTAGTGGGCAATAGCACATATTAAGCTGTAACACCATCATGCTTCTTCGCCTTAGATTGCCAGTTTTACACAGTACAGTTTGCAAATCAATACAATAAAAGTAAGGAAGAGAAAACTGACTTTTGTAAAGCTTAATATACTTAATTATGAAAAAAGTGTTGTATTTGGACTTTACTACCAAGTTCTGAAACATATTTATCTTGAATTCCTCAATGCTGTTAGTCCACATTTGTAATATTTGGCCCAAAAACATTTGCAGGACACATCATGCTAAACTAATCTGACTGTAATTGCTGAAAGATTTTTAATTTCTTACACTGCCTGATTGAGCCATGCATATAAATTACAATATGGTTTTTCTTCATTGAACTAATTAGGTGACCCAGTAACAAAGCTGAAAGGCAAAGAGAATTTTCCTGCATGTAAGAGTTTTACCTTCTGGTGACAAATTGATCACGAGGATGGGGCTAGGCCCATACTGTATGTTGTGTACCACAATTACTTCAGATGAAATAATTGACAATTGGCTATTACAGATCAGGAGCTTCACTGAGTCTTTCTTTGTAAAATAAATCAAATGCATAGGCTATCTACTGTACCTGGCTGTTTCAACTGCCATATGAGCTTTCAACCCATGTGTTAACTGAATTAAAGGCCAGTGAATCTTTAAATAGGACACAGAGAATAATGCCTTCTGTTATCATGCCATGCAATAGTAATTCATTACTTGCTTTTGTACAATGCTGTTCACCCAAAAGTGCCCTACATATTGAAGAGAATCCATTTTTCCTACTCTACCAATGATGTACAGCACCTACCTGAACAACATGTAGCATAAATTAAATAACAACACCATCACTACACACCACAGCAGATCAAGGAGAGAAGTGAGAAAGTGCTTCACCAATCTAATTAATGAGGTAAATAAGGCAGGCCAGACTGTGTAAGCACAAAGTGGAATTTAGCCAGAAAGCTAGGGTGTCATGAGATTTTTAATGACCAACTAGTCAGGACCTAAATCTAATATTTCCAAGCATAGTACCTTTGACAACACAGTGTTGACCATCATCAGACTGGGGCTTTGCTCTCGACTTTGTAGTCCAGAAGTTTAAATTTAATGTTGGTTCACCAACTTTACAACATTTACAGCAGCGACCTGGATTTCTTTAGAGGTCTTAGATTCCTGTACTGACAACCGTGCTTATCTTCTGAGATCTGATGTGATCAGGCTACAAGGTAGTTATGCTGTTGTTGCACGAGTGTTACTGTACCATTCAATTTAATAGTATTTAATAGAGAAGACATTCACTGACAAGAATAAACCTAGTCTTCAAATATGAATTTAATCATCAAAACAGAGCTGAATTTGGATAAAATAATAGTGCAGTGCAAGGAACAACTAATTTGACATTAAAATTGTGTAGACATACTTTCTCAAAGTGCTTAAAGGTTTGCAGTTTTCTAGAATCAGGGACTTATGATCATAATAGAAAATAGAACCCAGCAAGGCATGTAGGCAGAGATCTAAAAAGAAAATGAGCTTCTCAGAAGGTTATGTTGACCAAAATATGGGTAAAGGTCTTCACAAAACAAAATTGAATTACAAACATTTTGTCTTACATTAATCATCAAGCATCATAATTCTGGTTCTCTTGGATTCCATTAATCCCAAATAACCTAAACAAATAAACTGCCACTGAAATTAGCAACACATTTTAGCACAGAAAGAACTATTCAATAATGTGTTAATAGTACTTGTTAACAATGCCTTATACTCATTTCAATTTCTATTGAGCTAAAAGTAAAACAAAATCAAAATTAACTTATTTTAAAGATTTTAAATAAAGCCCTAAAATGTATGATTCATCATGATTCTATATTTGGAAAAAAATAAATTATGAAAATCAAGGCTATATCACGTTTTTCTAACCTTCTTTGGCTCTTAAATGGCCTTGGTTCCAAATAACTATTATTATTTGATTGACAAATCAGAATAATGTATTTCACCATTTCCAGAAAATGAATACTCATTTCAAAGACTCTCTAAGCATGTCAGTAAATCTTGCATTAAGAAGGAGAAAATATGTATAAAAAGTAATGAAATGTAAAAGAAATGAATATACGCATACCATGTCATGGTCCGAGACAGGTCCAAAACTCGTCACAAAAATGTCAGTCTTGACTTCAGTTACACGCTCTGTTGAAGCAGTAAATTAGGACTCTATCAACATTCTTCATTAGGAATAACCACCATTCATTCCATAATAGAATTTCTGTGGTGTGATCGAATGATTCTGAATTTTTTTTCCTAATCAATCTTCATTTTGTCAGTATCTGTATTATTCATTTTTTACATCAAACATTTTCTAAATACAATTCACAATGAATATGAAACATCATAGAGAAAATCACCTTTTCATCATACATCTATAGCATTTTATACTGTTGCTATGGAACACATGATAATGATAATGTTAATAAATTTATTTTCATATACAGTATACTGTATATTAGACTATAATAATATCTATTATGATTGAAGATCAATAGAAGCAAATGTGGTTTAGTTTTTTAATGAAATGGATGTATTTGGTTAACTATTTGATGGCATCTTGTTACATATGAAATATTACATTTTGGCAAGATAAAGAATGTACATATGGCTCCTTGGATCCTCACCGAGTCAAATCAAAGAGCTTAAGCAGGGTCTGGTAATAAATGATTAAACCAGAGTACATTATATAGAGTACTCTACCTAAATATCCTGTACAGGTTGCTTAATTAAGTTTTTTCCTTGTTAAAGTATTCCCCTTGTAATTAATACAACAGTTAATACAAATTAAAATAGTGCTTTGATGCCAAGGTGTCTCTTGTTGAATTCCCTTGCCCTTCAATTATGTATACTTCCCTTGTTGTAAATTCAATAAAGCTCCAGTAGCAGTGTTTACAATCCAAATTCCTTCTACATGCCATAAAGCTGTGCCAAGAAATGATCGATATGAAACATCTGGTGTAAAACTGGAACAGGAGTATTGCGTTTATATATGAAACTTCCTATTGTTAAAATAAAACACATACACACTTTTTACTGCTCCAGGTAACCATTGGATGTTTTTTTTTAATTTCTCGATTCTTCAATTTTATATCTTGCTGGTCCTCAACCTACTGTACCATTATAATGGTAAATGTCTGTTTTAAAAATACATTTTTGTATGTAAAAACACTTCTGTTGGCTAAAGCTTTCCATGAAGCAGCACTCCTGTAAAATGGTTGCTCTGTGATGGGAGCAAGTTCAATGGCAAAATAATGTCTTCAGTCACTGATTCTAGATACCATATCACTATTTAAAGACTTCTTCAGGCAATTATTTCTAAAAGCAAGAAATAATTCCTGTATAACTTAATAATATCTTGCTAGCTATTACACTGGGAAAACAATAATAAATGTTTATTACCTTTTTGTGAGGTCATTAAAAATGTGCATGTTTTCTTATTGATTAATCATATTTAATCTAATGTACAGTAAATGGTAACACTACAAACTGCATTTCTCGTAGAGTATATCTTTAAAGGTATGGGTTGCTGTTACTAAAAGAAGAACGAATCTTTGGGCATACAGTATTAGATCGAACATTCTATTTTTTATCTAATAATATATTAAAGTGCATCTATAATAAAGTATTAGTTGATGTTTTCTCGTCATCTATGCTGTCAAGGTTTTCATCAATCAAGGCACCCCTCATGGAAAAAACCTGCTCTGCAAAAATAAACATCTACCTGATTAGCGATGGGGTTCACATTGCAAAATGAGCCATCATGGTGTTGATCTATATGAAGGTCTATCAAATATTTGGTCAGAATGTGAACTGAGTATACCTCCCAGCCCTGGTCTCAGACGATTGTCATATCCATCCAATAGACTATCCAGGATCCTGGTAAACACAGTGGTGTTGTCCTTCTGATCATCTGATGAGCTCTGTCCATAACTAACGGAGTAATGGGACAGCAGGGTTGTTAGAAAATATTAGTTATAGTAGAAGAAGAAAACAACTGGGGGAGAGATCATGTTAATCATTTAATATTAAGCATGCTTTAAAGGAAAGGAATTATGTGCATTTAATACAAATGTTAATGTGCTTCACACTCATGTAGTACTGCTTTCTAATCCTGAAGGGAAAAACTGAAAGGCTTTTTGAATATTAACACTCTGTGCAATCCAAAAGAAAAAAACAACAACTTGACAATCTACTGTAGTTTTTAACGTAAAATAAAGCATTGTAACTATAAGGTCCTGATGCACTGCTCAATGCAAAATACATATGCATCCTGAAATCTCTTAACTTTAATTATATTACATAATACTACTTAAGTAAATATTTGCTCTAAATAATCTTCTCAATCAGAAATACTGTCAGTAGGCATCCTATCATAAGGATAAGCAGGTCTACAATTTATCCCCAGAGAAAAGGCAGCTTTTTCTATATTAACATAAAATATTGTCAGTCATTTCTCTTTTCAGTAACAGCTTTGATGATGTATTAAATACTACATCAAGTTTACTACTCCAAGAAACAACAGTATTATGTATTGCAATATACATATGCTGTGGATGAAGGAAATATGAAAAAACATAATAACCTCATGTGAAACTGGCTATTTTAGTACCAAACCAAGACCTGCAAAATGTAGGGAGCAGCAATAATGTGATAACTTTAATAATTTAAATAATAAAAAGAGTATAGTACAGAATAACAGTATACTGTAACTGTTCTTTGTGTACACATACACCTCAGAGCATGTACACAAAGATGTGACTCAACGCACTTTATTAAGAGAAACTAATACGAATTGCCACAAACAGATAAGACTGCACCAAAAAAAGTGTTACTTTCAAATGTTAAAGGGGTTAATATCTTGAAAACTATTTGTTATTTTAGGAAAAAATAATCTCAATCTCAACCCCAGCTAAAAACAGCTTCCAAACTTTCAAAAGAAATAATTAAAACATTTATAAATGTTCTCATTATTTATAACTGATAAACAGCAAAAAAGCACAATAAATGAATATGTCATACAGTAACTATACAGATGATAAAAACATCAATGTGTTATGTTAACTGATATATTCAAAGTCAAAGAAAAGTAAAAAAATATCAGACAAGGAGGATCTGTGCATAACCTCACAATGTACTTTGAAGAAATATTTACTCAATAATATTTGTGTTACAGTATGCACACATCAAAACTAAGCAGAATGTACTTTAATTCTTTAATTAGCTCAATAATATTTTATAAATTTGCTACCCTCATCCCTTCAGCAAGACATAGCTTTATAGTACCCCAAATACAAAAAAATAATTTACATTAAAGAAAAAATATACTGTATCTGAGAAAATTAGCGCAGATAAGTCATACAAATGTTTATCAACTGAGGCCACTACCTTATAAAACATTGTACACCAACTCCATCTACAGGTCATCTGAACAGCAACACTGCATAGAACTGTATTGTGCAGATTTTCGGGTGAATTCCTGTTAACAATCATATTTTTGACAAACTAATTCAATGAAAAACTTATGGTTAATCTCTTGGACAAAATGATAAGAAAATCTACCTCCATATAAACACTTTTACAGCTACTAAACTAAACACAAACTGCACTGTCCAGAAGAAACCACAACAGGTGAAATATTTTAACACAGGCTGCACTATGTAGAAAATAGTACGGAGCTAATATAAAGTTAGTCTTCATAAAATTACATATTTAAACAAACATTTACTGAATGTAATGATGATGTAAAATCGCATTCAAGCATTCATGATCCCACGGTTGGGGGATGGTTTATTCTTTTAATTTTGAAATATTTAATAGTACATATTCAGATTTAAAAAAATAATAGCAGCTACAGACAAAAAGAAAAGCAGAATCTTAATTAAAAGACACGTTTTACAAACAGCAAAATCATTTCACTGGCAGTGTCATTGAAATATTTAGGCCTGCACAAGCTGCAGCCTTGATACATTTTAATTCAAATCTTAAAGGAAAGCTTGAAGTTGTTTGCTAGGTTATCAAAATGCTGTCACATGATAACTGTTTATATGGTATATCAGATTTTTTCTTTGTGCTTTGCTTTTTTAATTTTAATAGAAATTAAAAGTGAATTGAAGAAAAAAAATAACCCTTCCATGAGCTGATGTAAAACTGAATGCATTCAATGCATACTGAATCTTGTCTGTGTCCAACAAAGTGTATTCTAATCCAGCGATAAAAGGTTATCCCTGTAGTGGCTCATGTTTACTTCAGTGGTCACAAGTTCCAAAATAGAGGTCTCTGCTAGAAAGATGGCCGAATGGTAGTTTTCATTTCTGAGTTATGATTATTGTGATTTTCTAACAAGTGTTGAAATGATTTTGACATCACTGACACTGATTTTTATTGTTTTTTTAGCATGGTTTCCTTTACTTACATCGCTATTTATGCATGCAAACACATCATTTTGATGATGATTATGTGAAAAAGTGAAGAAATGCTATCAACATTCAGTATCGATCTGCACAATAAATATTTTGTTTACAAGCTTATCAGAAAAAGAATGAGCTCTCTGGAAAATTATTGTGCTGTTCACTAAATCTACTTTAATTTTGCTTTATCTGGGACTTAGGGGGGATTAATATCCTCTTTGTAACCAGAGCAGTCTGTGCAGTGTTTAATTTTGCTACATCCCAACACACTCCCATTCCATGTTCATCAGCTGAGTGCACTAGACTGTATGCCTATATATTTTTAAAAGAATCATTACCTTTTTCCCCATAGCACATGTACTATTAGAAGGAGGGCCCATGTGCATTTAATCAATATGCCAGTTTGTCCCATCGCTGGTTCTGTTAACTGAAAATTAAACTGTAAGAAAAAAAAGTGCATTTCATAATAAGGCATACCATAAACATTTTTTTTTAATTTAAAGGAACAAAATAAAGGAAACAATCAAGTGTCACATAATACCATATGGGAGTAAATTTAGTTTCCTAAATGTACTCCTTTAAACACCATGTTATCAACCAATCAGCATGTAAACTTTCATTTTACTGATAAACTCTGTTGATGTCTCTCACTTTTAAAACAGATATATTGTTTTTAACAAAAGAATGCGAATGTATCCAGTTGTGAAACGCATAGCTGATGTGGCTTTTAACAAGCTCCTTTGATTCACAACAGTGTCACAGTTGCATTCCAAAGGACACACTTTATAAGCAAACCATGTGCCTCTTACATACACACCATCTGACACAAAATCTGTTATCATTTAGTGTAAATGGTGTCATAAATGAATTCATCATTCGAAATGTTTGCTGTAAATATACTGTTCTATAGTGGTGTGTGACACTGTACCCTGTGCAGCTATTGGGGACTTTGGTTTGTCAAGGAACATAAAAGGATTTTCAGCTAAGACATTAAGACGCATATATTGGAGGGAATAGCATTTTCATATTGCATCCTTCGAATGCTTCATGCAATTGATGGTAAATAATACATTTTTAGCGGACGATCTCCCCCAAAATAAACAGAACCACATTGCCAAACACCACGCACCACCACCTATACATCTGATAAATAACTGTTTTAAAATGTCACATCGTTTGTTACCATGGCACTTATACGCAGATACCACGAATAGAGTTGAAAACACAATGAGACAGCAAATAGCAATCACAGCTTCTTAAATGCTGTCGTTTGCATCTCCGTCCATTATTATATAATTTTACCATCTTATTTTCGAGGCTGAAAACTACCTAGTTAATGCATTAAACAAAGACAACGGTGCGTATCGAATAACCGTTTCCTAAAGATGCCATTTGGCTCAATCACACTTAGGTCCTTATATTTACAAAACACTGTAAAGGTGCCGTAAGGATATAAAGCAATTAATTTCTCACCGAAAGACGGTTTAATCAATAGAAAAACCATTATGCCACAGAGCACTGGCAGTAAATATGATTAACATGTTGATGAAAAATATACTGAACAAACTGCGGCTGCAGTTAGCTTTTTGCCTTGCAAGATAAAACTCAGTAATGCTGAAAAGAAAGAATGCTAACACAACCATATGGAACGATAGGTTCAAATTCCTGTACTTGACAAGGTTTTGGAAAATTCGGGGATAATGCAGTTTACGACTGTATCACATTCTGCCAGACTTTCTAACTAATTTTGAAGGCAAACGCCGTTTTACAATATGTAAAGTTGTTTGACAAAATTAGGCATGCAACTGGCATGTACTCATCGTTTTTCCTAAACACTATTAGTATTTTAATTCGAACGTGTTAAGTAACTAAGCAACTGATAATACTATAGCAGGATAACAGCAGTCCAAGTACAATAAACCTACACAAAATGACAATACAGTTAGCACATAACCATTTTCGAACAGCAGCTCAACCATTTAAAATACCAACTTATTATTTTTACTTTCCACGAAAACTCCTTTAAAACCAATTTGATAACCTTTCTCTACACAAAACCCAACTCACTGCAGTTCGAATAGCTAGTATTCCAATTCATTCTCGTATTTGCAACTGGTAAAAGCAAAGGAAAATGGAAAATAAAACAGGAAATCACTTACGGCAATGTGCAAGAGATACTCAACTGTATGGTATCCTAAAACTTTTATAGATACCTTTTCTACACGGTTTCGATGTGAAAAATCCTTATAGATCTCAGATCTGCTGAATTTTAGCTTGAGGCTCGTGAAGCGGCGGCTGATGATGGTGAGCTTGCGCAGGTCTCTCTCACTATTCCTGGGTCTGGGGAGTTAAACTCTTACCGGTCCCTGTAAATTGGTAATCTAACTGCAAAATCTACTCTAAATACAGAGATTGCAGCTAAATAAAGATTTTCTTTACCTAGACAATAGTAATATGTCCCTGGGTAAACCGGATGTGAAATAGGCTGTGACTTCATGCCAGGGAGATTTTATTTTAGAATGGAAGGTGGTACCAATCTCTCATCTAAAGACCAATCCGCCCATTTTTTATATGCAGCACAATTTAACTTCCACTGCTGTCGGCTTAATCTCTTTTCACTGGCTGCAAAATGAAATCCTCTTACATTTTCAACCGGATCTCTTGTTTTTTTTCTCGTTTTTTCCCCTGCACTAGACTGATCTTTGATGTTTTGCAATCGGAAAAAAATACTGTTTTACATTTATAAAATAAATATATTAAGAACCCTGAGCTTCCTTTGAAACTAAAATAAAATCTTTAATCAAATATTTAATAGTCATAGAAATATTTATGAATATGCCTTATGCATATTTCAAGAAACGGCATCTTTTTTTTCAAGGAGACATTCTTCCCAACATTATGAAATCCATATTCTTCACACTGAAGATGTTGTGACGAACCTCTCCGAAAATCATCCCAAATTGCTCACTGTACGCTGTGAACCCACGGTTTTATTTATTTATTTTCAGCTAAGCAACAAGACTGCATCTGTATCCACACTGAAATGAAGTGTTGGTATTTTGTGTAGGCTAGGATTGAGCAAGGACCTTTATAGACTGAGCTACTGTATACCGTACCTCTGCAGAACGGTTCGATGAAACTGAGCGTGGCATTATAGTCGTTTAGGTTTTAAAGTTGAACTACATTCCGAACGATTGCTTCGATATTGAAGGAATTGGAGCAATATCACTCCGTATCTAAATAACTTTGTATGAGGTAGAACACCCACCGATCGCAATAATTGCTTCAAAATGCATTTGACACAGACGACTGAAATACACACGTCCTTCACAGGCAAATCATAACCCATCACATGGCAAACAGGCTGAAAGGTTTCTTCGTGTTATCTGTTAACTGTGCATGCATTGGTTTGTTTCGTGTTGTGTTTTGGGGGGTCATACAATTTCATCACATATGCAGTATATTTGATGAGATTATGATAAATAACGCAGTCGGTGCCTCATTCACCTTTCACCTGGTCTAACAGCTGCTCAAACAGAAAAAGTAACACCGAATGTCCCGCTGGTTAGACCTGATGCTGCGTACACTGCGGTTCAAAAACAGGGGAGGAGACAGGTTTTGGTCCATGCGTTAGAGATTTGGTGTGCATATTTAGTGGGATATAACATGCTGAAACACGAGACCTCAAACAGGAAACCAACGAGATCTATTACATTATGCATCTCGTTTGCAATTGAAAAAAAAAACATCCGTGTTCTTATAATATTACAGTACTTAAAGAGTATGCAATCTGTCCACTCACACGTGTATATTCAGGCGTAGTTTAGTTTGCACGTATACGGGTAATAAAATCAGAAATTTCAAACAGCAACAAAAGAGACAAAAGTACTGTATGAAGAACAAACGTCTATTTTTATGATTTCATGGGTAGATTCTAAACTGTATTCGTTTCTTTACTTTTGTCGCATGATGCTTTTTTACAACTATAGTAGTCACAAACTATTCCTCTTACAAGGCTTGAAGTAAACTCAGTGACGCAATACAAGAATGTTACTACACATGTAGTCATGTCATTTTCTATAACAAACATCTCACCAAAACAATACAAGACAGAGTGGATGTTAGATTAACACAACGTGCAGACGTTTAAGTAAATTTTGTAGTGGAGTGGTATTTAATTTTTAGATCTTATTTCTCTCTTCCAAGACATTACATTTCAACAAATATTTCCATGTTGTGCATGTGACATTTTGCAAGGTCTGGAACAACATAAATTGAAAGAACATACAGTATGAAGCTACTGTACATGCTTCAGCACCATGGACAGTGCTAACAGACTGTCTCATTACAGTGATACCCATTAAGAAGTTATTCTATTTTGAGACAGCAGTCAAAAGAGTTTTAATACAGACAATGAAACAAATATGGCCAGAATTGCAACTAAAAACTAGCTACACCAATGAGTTAGTTCATCACTCATTCTTAGTTTCTCAAAATCTCAATTTAACCAGAAATGCAGCCTTAGTCTCCAACAAACTTCATTGCCCTCAGGTGACAAAATAACTTTGCAAACTTCAACCTTTAATCCACTATTGATTGTGAATTAATATCATAGGAAGAAACTTATTGTAAAGTAAGGTTTGCATTTGAAAACAATTACAGATTCAAGATATATTTAAGTTCTGGCATTTGTAAACAAAAGCTTGAAGTAAATTCTATTTTTTCAATAACTTTTATATAGCAGCCATATAGCACCAGCAGTTATATCATCCTGCAACTCACAACTGGCAACCCACTGAAGCTAAGCAGGTGTGAGCCTGGTCAGTATCTGGATGGGAGATCTCCTGGGAAAAACTAACGTTGCTGCTGGAAGAGGTGTTAGTGGGGCCAGCAGGGGGCACTCACCCTGTGGTCTATGTGTGTCCTAATGCCCCAGTATAGTGATGTGGACACTATACTGTAATCAAATGCCATCCTTTGAAAAGAATAGGGGTGTAACCCCTGGCCAAATTTCCCATTGGCCCTTACCAATCATGGCCTCCTAATAATCCCTATCTATGAACTGGCTTCATTTTTTCTGCTCTCCTCCTGATGTGTGGTGAGTGTTCTGGCGTACTTTGGCTGCTGTCACATCTTCCAGTTGGATGCTGCACATTGGTGGTGGTGGAGGAAAGTCCCCATTACCAGTAAAGCACTTTGAGGGGATTGTCCAGAAAAGCGCTATATAAGTGTAAGTAATTATGATTATTATTAATGTACTTCCCTGTTAGATTCACTGAAAAAGCATTGTGAGGGAAGGGTAAGGGTATATTATAGGATATACAGTATTAACGTGGTGAATTAGGTTTAAAATGAAAGTGGGTAATGGACATATAATCTGTTTATCTGGAAGGTGTCTGGGAAGTGCTTTATTATGAAGTCTAGGTAAATCTGTTGACGACCAGACCCAGGCTTTAACATGTGTTCTCAGTTTCAGACAATGCTGTCTTTTCTTACATCTCAAGTGAGCTAGAGTGCACTCACTGCTGCCAAATCTAGTTATGCCTTTGAAAGAAATGGATTCCTAAGGCATTCTTTCTCTTGGGGTATTTTTTAGAAGAAAAGGCTTGTACGTACTTTGGGTATTGAATGCCAGCTCATGAGTAAAACTACATGTATTTTACTGTCTTTATTAATTTTAAGATTTGTAAGTGAAATAATTGCTGGAACATTCTGTAGTCAACCAGAAGAGATACTGTAGATTCATAGGGGCTCTGTCATAGCATCATGTTTCACAATGGACTATCATCACTAAGAAATGTTTAACAAACTGCTGTATAGGCAGACTAATATCATGCACTTTCAAATCTATTTTAATTGTTGTACAATGGTGTTAAAAAAAACAATATTAATGTAAGAAGAGTTGCATTGTGACTGGGTACTGTCACAGTCCTTAGCTCTCTTAAGCAACTTCATTCACATCAAATCATAGGGGTTCATTAATATAACCTAGATAGCAAATTATTTAGAATTAAACAGCCATTTTGAGACAGCCTTAAATGGAAATCATTGTGCTCCAAAAAGTTTTTGTGTCACAGTTTACCCAGCAAAGTTGTCAAGTATTATATGCAAAGAATGTTTTAATGTGCACATAGTAATTTTGTTTTATTTTTTTAGGATTTAAATGTGTGTTTTTAAAATTCAAGCCTGTATTTCACAGTAATAAAATCTTAACAAAAAGACATGCAATGATGAGTGTTTCATGGATGTTTGTGTTGATAAGCAACCCAAAATACAAAGTTTCAGTTACTTTAAACACATATACAGTAGTTCATCTTGTTAACTAATATGTGTTTGTGCTTAACTTGCTCATGGAGATGTGCATTTATAGTTTCCAAAAAGAAAAAAAAAGCTAGAAGCAGGCTCTTTAAAATATAATTCACTTTTGCTTCTGACATTGACAAAAAAGCTTAAGAAATGTGTTGTATTCTAAGGTAGTACTATTTCTTATAATAATCTCATTATGTATCCAGTGCCTCTTTTGTTCAGGACATATTTGTAATATTAATGAAACCACCTAATCTAACACAGACTCTATAAAAATATACATGCTTATCATCAAACAATACAACTACTTATTTAGATTCTTCTTTGTTATAGTTGAACTCTTGTATACACTGTGCTTATTTGAACAAAAAATGGCACAGCCAGTTATTTTACCAGGAGTTCAGCTGCCAAATAGATAAAGAAGAAATAGAAAATACAATCCTACTATTGTGTCTGTTTGAGATGCACATTATCATACAGTACTTCTCAAAAGACAGAGTGTGAACAATCACACTCAAGAATCAGGAATGCTTTTATAAATTAGACATTAAGGAACATGCAACAACACAGTACTGTATATTGTTCCTAAACTCTGTAATCGAATCCAAAATCTGTTAGGGTTCACATCATTGAAACTTTTCATCTACAGTAGGTGGCTTTGTATGGTTCCAAAATAGTTCTCAGGAGACTAGAAAAGTTCTAGTGCTGTTGTGCTCTGTTGCAAATACATACAGTATGTTGATAGAATGTACATTGTCTTCCACTCTGGAAAAAGAGGTCTGTTTCATATCAATGTGGTAGCAATTATAACCATTGACTTAGTCTTGAGTGAGAAACTGTATACTGTACAAACAAAATAAAAATATGAAGTCAATTATAAAAACAGCAGCAAAAACAGCACTTGAACACTTTACCTATACCAGGCAATAATAAGACATAAGATAATTTTTAAATCAGAAAGAAATACATATAAAAATCTTGCTTTTCTTTTAAAGCAGTTGCTTAAACAGTATTCAGAAATTCAGCACACAGCCTACAGCCAAGAGAATCTCTATTTTTATGAGAGAGAATTCTTAGGTTAACCATTATAAGGACTAATACATTCAATGGTCTCAATATTAGGAACCTAGACAAAAGACTAGGTACACCAGTGAAAGACAATGAGTGGTTGTCTTGAGGACATTCAGACAGACTTCTATCACCTTCACTGACCAGAGCAATCCTCAGTCCTATTAAAAACCGGTTCATCCAGTGAAATGTGCAGTTCAATCACACACATCATTACCCTCATCACAATCTCAGGTGAAAGCAATCCTGCTAGACAAATGAGATGGAATTGTGCTGCAAATATTTAAAACCATTGTAGACTACACACCATTTTTTATTTTAGCTGTACCCGCTACTTACAGAGGTCCAACCCATTTTTGGACTAACATTTTGGTCAATAAATGAGAAATAATTTATTTAAGATTTTTAGGACATTCGATTTTAGTGCTCTCAGAAACAAGACGTGTTTTTTGAGCACTGAACTACCAGCACAGTCAGTGAGCTTTTATATTATTTTTTTTTCAAAAGGTAAAGACAACTACATAAGAATAAGATATGAATAATAATGTTTCATAAACAATTTGAAGAAATGCAAATCAACAACTCACTGTATTCTATATAGAAACAAAATGGTTCACTAATGTCCATAGTGAACCCCCTATGTAATTGTATGAGTTGAAAGCTTTAATTCTA